CCCGTTTCGCGAGAGTGTTTGGAAGTCGCAAAAAACTCAGTGTAGAATGTAAATATCTGGCGAATATAGGGCACGCTCAAAGTGTGTTGAGACCCGCCCACAGTGGGCGGAGCTTGCCCTAAATCGCAGGGTATTCATTTTAAAAGTTTGTAGCTCGGTTCCAGAACACTCCAGATACCGGTAAAAAGTGGACTAAGGTCAGCAGAGGGTCGGAGTGAGGATTGTGGGGCAAAAAATGTGGACGGAGGCTTCGAGGTGGGCGGAGCCAGACAAAAAGGTCTGTACGGTTCCAGAACACTCCAGACACCGGAAAAAAGTGGATTAAGGTCAGCAGAGGGTCGTCGGTGAGATTGTGGGGCACAAACATTGTGGGCGGGGCTGCTCCGAGGTGGGCGGAGTCAGACGAAGAATCTGTAAAATAGCTCAAGAGTACTTCAGACACCGGAAAAAGTGGAGTACAGAACAAAAGGCGGATATCAGTTGAGTCTAGAAATATGTGAAAGAAAATACGCGCGGCGAAGCCGCGCCCGCCCGGCGCAGCCGGGCCGTATCAGAAGGATCGCGTTCGAAGAAATAACATTTCTTTAATAAAGTTGATCAGTGAACAATACTGAGAGGGTAAAAGCGGCCCTGGTGGCGTAACGGATAGCGCACTCGCCCGGAAAGCGTGAGGTGCGGGTTCGGCTCCCGCCTGGGGCACGACTTTTGCCCACAACTTACAAGGGAGATCGTTCGAGCCTGGTGAGCTTTTTGAAAACGGTTTGTTGCATGTTGTACACAGACGGGGTTCATTTTCGCTAAACGCTATTGGGAATACCAGAAAATAAATAAAAAATCGCTCAAAAGTTTTATCATCGCTCGCCTCTGTTTTAGCTGTAAAGCGGAATACATATAATTTATGAAGTGTTCCTTAACTAGACATGGAAAACAACGCGAAATAAGGTCGAAATTTAAGTGCTTTACTTGGCATACAGTGAGGTACACTGCAGTTTCTTTAGGGGTTTATGCAGCATCCCTTCGCGCTCGCAGTGGCCATTTAGCGCCACGCTGGCCCCAGATCACGTCGGCGCCATAAATAATTGTCAGAATCGTGATCAGGGCCATTGATTACTCCCTGTAAGAGTTTCAGAGAAAAATTTTTTTCGAGTTTTTTGGTGGTCATGGACTGACCATTTGGATGGCAGTGACAGGCGAACCCTCCGTTAAGTATCCTCTCTGGCAGACGAACCGCCAGAAATTTTTCATTTCTTGCCCTCAACTTCAGTAGGTCTTCATAGAACATCGTGCTAGCTTCGGAGCCACTAAACGAGCATCCTGATTTCTTCACTTTTACCGTCTATGCTTTCGACAAAGAACTCGTTACCTCCTGCCCGGAAAAGGATCTTATTCCCCTCACATCAAAAGTGCAAGGTGTGCAGTGTTTGCGCGTCACTTCTTTTTTAAATTTTGTAGTTGCTAATTATGCGTCTGCATACTAGCAATGAAAAGCTCCCTCTTAACGATGTTGGATAACGACTTCTTGGGGAGGGGGACTGATAGCCACTAGCTGGAG